GGGGAATGCCATACATCTCTTCAACAACAGACGCCAGCGAAAAATAAACAAGACAGAGGGAGAGGGAGCAAAATCTTGCGAATAACGCACGGATCTTACTTAGATCCTGGGAATGTGAACAGCGGCTGGATTTCTGAGGCGGTTAAGAAAGTCCCTGCTTGTCAGGTGGGACACTGGCCCTGTGGGTATGCTGTCTGAAACCCACCTCCCACCCGGATTTGCCCGGATTCAGGAGCGTCGGCCACCGGCGCCAGCCCACACGCAGCCGTGGAAGTGCAGAACCGGGAAGTCAGAGTTGAGAAACTCTTAAGAGCAATTGCACACGGTGGCTTTATGTCTATTGGGTGCTCTCGTAAGATAATGGGCTTTCCAAAAAGGAAAGGAGCTGCTGGTTAAGATCCTTGGCTTGCAGCCCCAAAGCGGTCACCACTCGTGGTTTATTTAGCCCCTCTGGATCTCAGTTTTCTCATCTATAAAATGGGAACAGAGCCACCTCTTTCGTAGGTTTGTTGGGACAGCAAAAGGAAGTAAGAGCCAAAAAAACACCCTTCAGAAAATGAAAGGTGCCAAGCCAAAGCACGTGGCGACTTTGTCACATCCCCAGTGTGGCCGGGGTCCTGTCCTCGCCCTACTCCCCGCATAGCTCCACTCACCCTGCTTCCTCCTCCGTCGAGTGCCACCACGGCCAATAACAAGATCACTGATAATAGACGAACTCATGTATCACTGGTCAAAAGTAGATCACCAACCCTGCTCTGTGCACCCAGCGTCTCCGGTAACCCTCCCGGAGCGCTGTGGGGCCGACTTCAGCACCCCATGGACAGATGGGGCTCTGGGAGAACAGCGGTCCCCGACCCCCCGTGTCCCGACCGGCTTCGAGGTCACAGCACACGGGCCGGGACCTCGCGGGCCTTCCTCCTGGGACAGGCAGGAGTCCGGGTCCTGAGCCGTCCCCAGCCCGGCCCCTCCTCACTGCGGCAGAGCAGATGACCGCCGCTGTGTGGCCCTGCGGGGAACACGGGGGTGCGGGCCTTCCGTGTGGCTTCCTGTCCCTGGCTCAAAGCACACATTACCTTCGGCCCTGCAAAGCTCAAGCAGCAGAGCAGAGGGGTCAGAGGGCTACCCAGGGCAGAGGTGCTCCCAACGGCCCCATGTCCCAGCGCAGGTGGGCCGCTGGGGCCCTGGGAAGCAGCCCAGAAACTGCTTGCTCTTCACGAGACAATGAGTCCACTGTTGACGGGCCAGGGCCTTGATTAATATTTGCAAAAGGAGCAAAGTGGAAAATTCCATCTGGGCCGAGGCGGGGCGCGGGATGTGTCAACACCCTCAATGACCTTGTTCTCTCAGGGATGGACCAGGCAGAGAAACGAAGGCCTGATAAAGGTGACAGAACCTGAGGCTGTCGCTGCCCTTGGGTCCGAAGGAATTTCCTTACTTGGGTTGCAGAGGTATTACTTTGGCTGTCTGTCCTGCCTTCCCTGCCCCCAAATTTACGCAGCCTCTTGAAATCCTTCAACTTTCTCCCTATCTCTTCAGAGTGTCCCCACAGCCCTGCCAGGCCCGCAGGGTAGAAGTCAGACCCAGGTTACGGATAGGAAAACTAAGGCCCCAAGACACCAAGAGCTTCCCCCAAGGCCAGCGGCTGGAGAGTGGCACAGCCGGCAAAGCCTGCGTCTCGGCCGCCCCTGGCAGCACAGAGCCTGTCCCGGGAATGTGGAGTCAGGTGCCCCCGGGGACGGGACAGGGCAGCCTTCTGGGCTCCAGTAGAGGCCCTGACCGTCACTCCTCCAGAGGAGCAAGAGGAGAAAGAGGAAGAAGCCCAAACCGGCTCTCCCGGGCAGGCAGCTTTGTAAGCACCACCTGGCAGGAAGGTGCGCAGCGTTTGTGCCTTCAAGCATTTAGCGGTGCCTCCGAAATCCCGGGACAGGAAGGCACCCTGCGTGGCGGCTCCTCTGAGAAACCCGGAACGGGCGCAATTTGTGCCTGAAGGGGTAGGGTCAGAGTACCTCCAAAGGTTACTTCCCTCACAGGCTCAAGTCACCTCTGCGAGCTGATGTCACTTCACTGTCTCCTCCGCCCCGGGGGACAGAAAAGGAACCTGAGGCTCTGAGAAGCAGTGACTGGCCACACAGAGAGAGACGAAGCAGAGACCACTGGGTATTTAGTGGCCCTGCCCCCGGTTTAGAAAGCCACAGCGTTATTGGGCTTAGGTAGTCAAATAAATGGTGTCCTTTTCAGCAGGGCCCTCAAAGGCTGCATGCTTGATCAACAAGGACCTCTCATGAAGGACACTTTTTGGGATGACCTTCCAAGCCAGCGTGGACCCCCGAGAAGACAGGCAGGACAGCTTGCTTGTCCGCAGAGAACACCAGCTGTGGCAGGGCCCTCCCGCCACGCCTCACCTTGCAGTCCTGTCTGCAGAGCCGGCCATGGGCATCATCACCATCCGGGAGCCCCAGCACTGTGCCCCCCACACCCCCTGCCCAGGTTCCCTCCTTCCACCCCCCCCACCGCATGCTCAGTGACCTCCACACCATACTCACCTGCCCCCTTCACCCACCAGCCCCTTCCCCTGTAGAAGGAACCCCCGCCTCTCCTTTTCTTAAAACCAACCCCCCTGACTCCACTCCAGTCTCTGAACCCACTTCCTCCCATGCCCGTCTTCTCCCTTCTTGCCAAAACCACCCCTGACTGCCAGTGATGTAAGCCAGGCCAACCCTGACCTCTCTGCCCCATTGATCGGTGAGGGCTGCTCCCTCACCCCCGGGTTTTCTCGCCACCCCCCGGTTCCACCTCTGCATGCCTGCTTGTCCCTGAAACCCTCGCCCTCAGTCCCACACTCCCACAGCAAGGCCTGCTGGGGCACTTGGCTGTATAAAGCCCGCATAGCTCTGAGCCTGGCCCACGACACAGGCTCAGCTGTTCACCGAGGGAATGCGTACTGGTTAGCAGCTACCTCCCCGCTGCTACCCCCTGCCCTGCACAGCCACCCAGGTGGTCTGTATAAGGCTTAAAACTGTCCCCCCACCTAAAAGTCCGCTGTCATTCCTTGGCACCGCCGGACAAAGTTCACGATCTCCACCTGGCCAATGAGATTGTCTCCATCGGCCATTTCACGGCAGGGCGGGCACATGTGCCCTTGAACGTGCACTCATCTCATTCATCCTTGGTCCAAGAGCGCCCATCAGCCAGCGCCCGTGTGTCACCTTTGCACCCCAGTACTGGCACCCTGCAGGTGTTTGCTGAGAAGACAGATAACTATCTGGGCTGGAAATGGTCTCAGGGACCACAGGGCTCAAAGCAATTCAGAGAGGTTGAGTAAGGGGCCCAGGGTGAGCCAGCCCCAGGCAGGGATGAGCCAACAACCTCCCCTGAGCCACTCTTCCTGGTCAGGAACTAGATCAACCCTCTAGAAACGTCACCTGGAGCCTCATGTGTACGCAGGCCAGAGCCTCCGGTGACCTTGAGGCTGGGTCCAGTCCATGTAGGCCCAGATCTGAACCCCACAGGTGAGTCAGGCCTAGCACACAGTAGGACCTCAGCAAAACCAGCTGCTTGACAAGGTCAACCTCTCTCCAGCTGACAACTCCCTCCATGAGTCTCACTGCCCTCTCTAGGCCTTGGTCTCTTCACCTGTACAATGGCCTGCAAATTTAAGTGGCCTTGAGCTGGTCACCCTAACCTCGTCCTTTGCAAACAGAGGGGGCTGAAGCAGCGGAGTTCCAAGCTCTGCGATCCACTGTTAGCCCAACTAATTTTTGTTAACCTGTCCTCAAATCACTGTGTATCAAAAGATGCTTTCAGCAGCCAAGCGGGCGTCAAAACTACCAGGGGCAGAGCCCAGCCCGGACTGAGGGGTCCCCTCGCAATCTGAGGGCGGGCCCAGGATTTGCATTTAAGGCGGCGCGGAGACGCGGGGGCAAAGCGAAACCCCGCGCAGCGCGGCTGCGAGTCCACAGCAACGCAGGCTTCCGCCTTCGGAGCCCCAAGAGTCAGTGTCAGACCTCCTTTTGTGCAAATAAACACACACCAGAGAAGCTGGGGGCGGGGGGCGGGGGATTTCTACCACCCTAACAACAGACAACTTAGTTCCTGCGAAGAAGTAGCTCCCCCAAAGAACTCGACGCAGCTTCGGCTGCCCGCGACCCCACCCTTTGGTTTCGGGGCGCTGGGCCTTTGCATAAAGTGGGGCTCCAACCTCGGCGGCCAGCCCGGGTCCTCCCGACTCCCCCACTCCCCGGCCCGAGGCCTCACGGGGCTCAGGAAAGTGCGGCCAGGGGCCGTGCGGGGCGGGGCGGACGGGAGTCGGGGCGCGGGCACCCCCCCCGGCCCCCCGCTACTCACCCTCGGCGGCTGGGACGGGGGACTGCGGCGGAGCGGGCGGCGGGCGAGGCGGGGCGGGGCCGTGCGGGGCGGGGCGGACGGGAGTCGGGGCGCGGGCACCCCCCCCCGGCCCCCGCTACTCACCCTCGGCGGCTGGGACGGGGGACTGCGGCGGAGCGGGCGGCGGGCGAGGCGGGGCGGGGCCGTGCGGGGCGGGGCGGACGGGAGTCGGGGCGCGGGCACCCCCCCCCGGCCCCCGCTACTCACCCTCGGCGGCTGGGACGGGGGACTGCGGCGGAGCGGGCGGCGGGCGGGGCGGGCGGGGCGGGTGGCGGCGGCCCGGCCCTGGCCCCGCTACCCTCTAACTGGCGGCGCCGGCGCACGGCGCGCTCTCCGCGGCCCGGAGGGGAGCGGCGGCCGGGCGGTTCGGACCGGGTCTGCGCCGGGCCTGCCCGAGGGCGCGCGTGCTGCCGCGCACCGGGCTCACTCCTCGCACGTGTGCGCGGGGCCCGGGGCCCGCTCGTGCTCCACCGGCCAGGTGCCCCGAGGCGCTGGGACCCGGCCCCTCCCGGCGGGCCCGGGCAGGCCAGGGCGCTCCTACGGTCCCCACCCAGGGAGGGGGCCGCCCTCGGCTCCGGGCGGCGGGGGCGGGGGCCGGGGCGGCGCTGTGGGAGGCGGGGCCCCCGAGGGGTGGCCCGGGGCGCCGAGATAAGAGCGCGGCCGCGGGGAGGGCTGGCCGGGGGCTCCGCGATGTCGCTAGTGCTGCTGAGCCTGGCCACGCTGTGCTGGGGAGCAGCGTCCCCGGAGCCGGTAAGCTTCCGCCCGCGCCCCTTTCCTGCGTCCCGTCCCGGCGTCCGCACCCCCTCCCCTTGCGCCCAGCTCACGCTCGTTCCCGAGGGCCGCCTGGAAGGGGCACGTCCGCACCCTCGGGGGGGCAGCCCGACGGGTCCCGGCCAGGTCGCCCCGGGGCTTCAGGCTGCTGGAGTCAGGGGCGTCGTCGGAATCAGACGGACCCGGACTCAAATGCCAGCTGAGGCTCGGTGTCCTCATCTATATAAGAGAAGAGTCATACCCAACTCAGTTGGATCTAGTGAGGAACAGGGACAGGGCTTGCAAGGCAGCCTCAAGGAGTGTGGCACATAGTAGGTGCTCAATATCGTTATTGCTTGCACTCTTGAGGTCTGCCCGACTTTGGGCACAAGAACTGTATCTCCATTACCACTTGCCCTTTGTTGCCATGTTGATTCCCCCTGTGCTGGGGTGCCATGACCTTGGAGCTGGAATCTGTTGGACTCTGGCCGGTTTCCTTTCTTCCCCAGTGCCTTGGAGGATTGAGGGAATCTCAATCCTGGGTCACTAATGAAAAATCTTTCAAAAAGCATTTGCAACTATATCTCCGCCCTCTTAGCATAGCATAGAGCATAAAACATGGTGGTTACTTGTTGATGGTTATGGGAAGACAAACCCCATTCATGTGCCCTGATGTCTCCAGCTATTATGCTTGTTGCTTTGCTTCTTCCTAAAATTTGTCTCACTGGCCCTTTGACAAGAACTCAGCTCCTAGGATGCCTGGGTGGCTCAGTCGGTTAAGCGTCTGCCTTCAGCTTAGGTCATGATCCCAGGGTCCTGGGATCAAGTCCCGCATCGGGCTCCCTGCTCCGCGGAGAGCCTGCTTCTCCCTCTGCCTCTGCCTCTCTCTCTCTCTATCTCTCATGAATAAATAAATAAAAAATCTTTAAAACAACAACAACAACAACAACTCAGCTCCCACTATGGTGGCTGGTTTAAAGAAAAAATGTCTGATATTACTTGGGAGTTCAGCTGTAAAAAGACAAAGATGAGGGACTAACAAACCCAGATTACTCAAACCATCAAAAGTCTTGCCTTCTTTCTTACGAGGTGTTTGGAAATGTTCAGTCTGAGAGGGATCAGATTGCAGAGCGGTGGCCTTCTAGCCTATAGGGTCTTGTCACTGGAACTTGGTGCTGCCTAAAAGTTAACTATTTTAGGTCCAGCATTTTATTCCAAAATGAAAGTACTAATTATTATTTTTTTTAAAGACATGAGCTGTTACCTCCAAGGGATTTAGTACTGTCCTTTCTTGGGCACTAATGATACATACCTATTTTTTTAAAAGCTCTTTTAAAAAGATAACATGATGAAATCCCAGTTACAGCTCAGGTGAGTCCTTTTGCATCAGAGGGGGACTATTTTCAAGGCCCTGGGAAGGCACCATGGACTGCATTTATAGCTTTCTTCTGTTTATCTTCTCAGCACAGCTTAGTCCCTAACCTGGGAAGAATCAAATACTCTGGATGGTCCTGAGAATCCACAGTTGAACAAGAGAGTGTGAAGGGGTCTTCATGATGGTCCAGAGTCACCCCTGCTTACAGCAAGGGAAGGGGGCAAGGCACAGAGAGGGGTGGAGACCCACCTCTAGTTTTTAAGTGAGGTGATGAGCAGGCTTGAAGCTCAAGTCTATGATAGCTAATGTCAGGTCCATCACAGCCTACAATGGGCTAGCTTAGTTTCCCCCAAACTGAAGTGGAATCAGCCCAGCTTTTCTCCAAAAGTTTGCCACTCATATATGCATTTTAAGAAAAAGATGGTTTGGGGACGCCTGGGTGGCTCAGTTGGTTAAGCATCTGCCTTCGGCTCAGGTCGTGATCCCAGGGTCCTGGGATCGAGTCCCACATCGGGCTCCTTGCTCAGTGGGGAGCCTGCTAATCCCTCTGCCTGGAACTCCCCATGCTTGTGCTCTCTCTCTCTCTGTCAAATAAATAAATAAAATCTTAAAAAGAAAAAGAAAGAAAGAAAAAGGGGCACCTGGGTGGCTCAGTCGTTAAGCGTCTGCCTCCGGCTCAGGTCATGATCCCAGGGTCCTGAGATGGAGCCCGGCATCGGGCTCCCTGCTCAGCGGGAAGCCTGCTTCTCCCTCTCCCACTCCCCCTGCTTGTGTTCCCTCTCTCACTGTGTCTCTCTCTGTCACATAAATAAATAAAATCTTTAAAAAAAAAAGAAGAAGAAAGAAAAAGATGGTGTTTTGTCTAATTTGGCAAAGGAAGGCTTAGGGTTTGCTAGCATTCAACATGACACTTCATTTCTTTCTCTCTTGCAGATGATTCAGTGTGGCTCTGAACCCGGTAGGTGTGCTAGGGAATGGGTATTTGGGGCTGACAGAACAGTTGGACTTTTGGGGGGCCCAAGTCTAGGCAATGGGTCATTGGAGACAAGGTACAGGGTGAAACATTGCTTTGTTAGCTGCTGTGGATGAAGCGTCTGTCACCTGGCAAGGCAGAGCTCCCAGGTTTCAGATGGGCTGGCTTCCTGGCCAGTAAGAGGGGCACAGGCAGGACAGGAATGACCCTTCAGGGTGGGAAGTGAAGCCTGACGCTTCTGGGAGATCAAGTGCTGTGATAGGGAGGTCACTTACAGTTGAGAACAGGAAGCAAATGTTTTAGAGAAGGAGTGTTTGAGATAGTAGTATTTGAAGAATGGGTGAGCCTCTGCCCAAGAAATGTGGATGGAAAGGATGAGCTGGAGGAGAGATGGTGCCGGCAAGGATTAGGAGGTAGGAAGGGCAGTTGTATGGGCCAGCCGGCTGGAGTGCAGGCTGAGGGGTGAGGAAGGCAGGACCAACCTAACGAGCATGTCAGATACACAGGGACAGGTACTGGGGTGGTCCCGAGGGTCCCATGGGTTGGGGCCAGGAAGCTGAGCATCTCCTCGGCCATAAAACAGCCAGCACTAAGAAATGTCTGGCCTGGCCTGGCCTGCCTTAGCAGGAAGAAGAGATGAACTGTGAGTGAAGGACAGGTCAGGGTGGGCCACTGAGAGGAGATGGCACTGGACTGGGCCAAGAGGAGAGTGTCCTAGGCAGTTTTGTTTCTTCCCAGGACCGTCTCTAGAGTGGATGGTCCAACACACTCTGACCCCAGGAGACTTGAGGGACCTCCAGGTGGAACCTGTTAAAAGCAATGTTGCCATGGAGGACTATTCCATTTTGATGAATGTCAGCTGGAAACTCCGGGCAGATGGTAAGTTTGAATCAAGCAATAAAGCCTGAAGTGTCTACTAACGCAGAAAAGTGCAGACTGGCCCATTAACTCCACCCCTGGCATAAACCCAACAGAATATATACAGAAGTGCACCAAAAACCTCATTCCGTGGTCCCTCCTTATCTGCGGCTTTGCTTTCCATGGTTTCAGTTACCTGCAGTCAACTGCACTCTGGAAGCAGGTGACCCTCCTTCTGACATACCTTCCACAGGTCAGCAGGAGCCTAACGCTCTATCACCGTGCCTCCGTCATTCACCTCACTTCACCTCCTCACGTAGAAGAAGGGTGAGCACAGTACAATAAGACAGTTTCAGAGAGACCACATTCACATCACTTTTATTACAGTCTATTATAATTGTTCTATTATCTCTTGCTGCGCTTAATTTATCCACTTTATCGGAGGTATGAATGAATAGGAAAACGCATAGTATATATAAGGTTCAGTACTATCCATGGTTTCAGGCATCCACTGGGGGTCTTGGAACATATCCCCTGCAGATAAGGGGGGACTACTGTACTAGATTGTTCCCAGTAGCGTTATTCATAACAGCCCCAAACCGGAATGCATCAAATTCCTGATGACAGTAGAATCGCAAATCCAATCCGGTGCAGCGATGAGCATGAATGATCTGTAACTAAACCCAGTGTGCATGAAGCTCACAAACCGAAGAAGCCAGATTCAGGAGTCCACACTCACATCCGAACGCAAACCTGAGTGGTTACAAGTCAGAGCAGTGGTAACTCTTGGCTCGGGAGTGACTGACAGGAAGCATGAAGGGCACTCCTAGGCTGTTTCTCGGCCTGGGGACTGGCTACATGAGTGTGACAACTCATCACGTGCTCTACTTACGATCTGTGTACTCTTCTGTATGTTGTTATATTTCATGGAAGAAAACAGAGTAAGTGCCGAGATGGATCACCTCTCCAAGTTTAGGGCAAGTGCTGACTCAGGTACCTTACTTTTCCCTTTCCCACACGGCACCATGAAGGTCCTGGCATTTCCCCAAGGCAGCTTGTGAGTTCTTTCCATGAACCAATCCTGGGGGCCTAAAGCCTATGATTCTGGTTTCCACTGGCTCAATTCTGTTCAATTCCACCAAGTCAGGAATCTGGGAGGGCCTGGCGCAGAGAGGTGAGGGGGCTATAGTTGCCACGCAGGAGGGTTCTCGGGGGCTGGGGGAGGCACGCTCAGCCACAGGGGCACAGGATCCGGGTCCGGGGCATCCGGGAAGGAGCTGTGCTCCATCTGAGTGGGATGGAGGCAGGGGGGAGCAGGAGAGGGCCCTCAGGAGAGCACTGGAACTGGGTGGGGCAGTAAGGCAGTGGCCCCATGCCTCGCAGAGTGAGGCACTGGTTAGCTGTCGTTCTAGGGGGACTGGGCCTTGAAGGAGTGTAAGCCTTAGAGAGGCAGGGAAGAGGGGAGAGAAGGGGTCATCAGAACTGGCATGGTTTGGGGATGACACTCTGGGAGGCCTGTTCCCCTTAAGTAGTGCAGAGCCAGAGTAGGATCCCCTTTGTAGGATCCTGTGAAATTGAGGCTTCCCTGTGAGGAGAAAAGAGCTTGGGCTTTGGGTTAAATCCATATCTGCTGCTGAGGAGCTTTGTAAGCTTGGGCAGAGCTCCCTGAAACCCCCCTAGCCTCACGCGCCTCCTCTGTACCCAGGGGACCAGGGCGCCTACCTTCCGGGACTGCTGTGAATATGAACTGAGGTGAGTCCTGTAAGTGCTCCAGCATCAACCTGGCCATGTAGTAGGTGCTAAATAAACAGCCGCCCTCTTTCCTGTCTCTGCAGCCAGCATTCACTTGCTGAAGGCCACCAAGATCTGCGTGACAGGCAAGAGCAACCTCCAGTCCTACAGCTGCGTGAGGTGCAATTACACGGAAGCCTTCCAGACTCAGACCAGACCGTCTGGTGGCAGAGTGAGCACGCTGAGGCCCCTGGCTAACTGTCCTTACAGCCAGCCCCTTTGCTTTGGGGGAGGGGGTGACGTGCTGGACACCCAGGCCGCCGAGCAGCTACAGCTTGGAGCCTGAAGCAGGATGCCTGGCCGCTGCTGGCCTTTGTGCCTGGGACAAGTCAGCATCTCTGGGCCTCAGTTTCCCCATCAGCAAAATGAGGGGAGCTGAACTTAAATTCTATCCCGGCTCTAAAAGCTTATACTTCTCTGATTCTGTGACTTAATGGCAAATTGTGTGGGCTACGTTCCCTTAGCAGACATTGGCTAGAGACCTCAGTTTCAGCAGTAGGTTAAGGAAGGCAATTATAAATGAAGAGGGCAGCGCACAAAGGTGCCATGTCTCTGCATTGCAGTGTTTGGAAATTCAGGGGTTCTCTGCTTTGCCTTTCAGTGGACGTTTTCCTACACAGGCTTCCCTGTAGAGCCGAACACACTATACTTCATCGGGGCCCACAATATCCCCAATGCCAATATGAATGAAGACCCCCCCTCCATGTCTGTGAACTTCACCTCACCAGGTAAACTCCCTCACTCCTCCGTCTGGCTGGGATGCTTGCCGTGGGGCGTGTGGCTTGGTGCAGAGAGGCTGGGGTACCCTGGACAAAGCATCTGGCCCCGCCGAGTCTGGTTTCCTCGTCTGTGATACACAGATGGAGTAACACGCAGTAACTATGTCTCCCTCACAGAATGGGGGAGAGGAGTAAGTCAGATCAAACGTAGGGGACAGCCCATTCCTGTGTCGGACCCGGTGCTGAGCGCCTAACACGCATCCTCTCACCAAAGCATCCAACAACCCTGAGGTTGGGAGAGCCCCGTTGCATAGATGAAGACACGGAGAGCTTAAGTAACTTGCCTTGGGTTACACACACAGCCCAAGAGAAGCTGACATTCCCACTCGGGTCCTTCTTGGTCAGTGACTTCCACCACTCTGTCCTTGATACAAAATGTGTCCTGCACAACGTCTTTCCACTTGGCTAGCAGGCTGTGGTATTGGGAGGAGCGGCTGGGTCTCGGCCTCCAGCGGGCCCCTGGGCTGTCAGCAAGAGGCAGGGTGGCACCGAGCTGAATGCTGGGTCATTTCCACTACTCCACACCACAACCAGCCCTCAGGTATCACACCTGCAATGTCACACACGGGGCTGTTGTGAGCATGAGGCAGGATCATGTGCTGCAAGTGGAGGGTCCAGCATGGTGCCTGGCTACGGCGGTCCCCATGCCACCCTCACCCAGGCCGGGTCATCTCTTCTGTCCTCCAGTCCTGTCCTGTCTCTGGTGAAGCATCCAAGACAAATGGGGCAATTTCCGATTCCTTGTTGTTCTTTGAGCTTGCGGTCCAGGGTGTTCCAGCTTTCTCGATGAGACTAAACCTCATTTTAAAAAATAGAAATGTTTTATTTTGGAATAAGTTTGCCAAGATAATACAAAGAGTTGCGTAGATGTCCAAAGAATTCCCGTAGGGCTCTCACCCGGTATCCCCCATCTTTAACCTGTTACGTTACCATGGTTACATTTGTCAAAACTAAGAAACCAACATCAGTACATTTCTATTAATGAAACTCCAGACTTTATTGGGATGTCACCTGCTTTTCCCGTGAATGCCCGCTTTCTGTTCCGGTCACATTTAGTCCTCGTGTCTCCTGTCTCCTCTGGTCTGTGACAGGCTTTGAGTCTTTCTTTAGTCCTCGTGACCTCTACAATCTGGAGGGCTGGCCAGGCATCCTGCAAAATGTCCCCTCGTCTGGGTCTGTCTGATGTTTGCCTCATGATTAGCCTGGGGATGTGGGTTTTTGGAGAGGTACTGCAGAGGTGGGGTGTCCTTTTCATTGCCTCCTAGCAGGGGTGGGTGACATCCACATGACATCAGTGGTGTCTGCCAGCCATCTCCATTGCAAATCTACCGACTGTCCATTTCTCTACTCTAGTTCTTGAAGACAAGTGACTAAATCTGCCCTACTCTGGGGTAGGGGTGTGGGGGGGTGAGTTAAGCTCCACCTCCTGGAAGGGGCAGTATTTACATATATGATCAAAACTCATTTTCAAGGGGTTGAGTCTTCTCCTGGGGATCACAGGTACTATTCTGATGAAGAGTGTATTTAAATCAGACTCTGGCTATCACTTCGTGGGTAATCTGTTTAGTAGTCAAATGTTAGCGTCCAGTTTAAATTCGCTATCTTACCTCACATCTTGAATGTTCTGGCAATTTGTTACAAGTGTGGTAACCCTGTGTTGTGTGTACTTGTTGGCAAGGGAGTGGAGCAGAGATACCGTTTTCTAAAACGTAAAAACTTTCATTCAAATCTGCAGGCTGCCTAAACCACATAATGAAACACAAAAAAAAGTGCATCGAGGCAGGTAAGTAAATATAACATTTGCTTTTGTTATTAGAAGAAACTGGAGCCCACCCAGCTCAGTCCATCTTCCACAAAGAAACCGAGGCTTAGAGATGCGCAGTGGGCTGACCCCCGGCCGGCCCTGTGCCCGCTGAATCAAGCAGCCTGTCCAGAGAAAGGCCGACTCTGAGTAGCTTTAGGTAGTGAGGAGCAGGCACAGAAAAACACGCACCGCCTTGGCGAAATGATCCTTTCTGGCCAAACTGCACCTATGGTGGTCCATCCTGATGGAAGGCCCTCCTGACTGGAGGGGAATCTGTAAGTCCCTCCACCTGCTCAGACAGCAATACCACTGACCTCTGACCACGGGGACCCTGTGAACCTTCTGTTTGGATTAGCAAACATTCAAGGTGCAAGTGTTAACTCAAGTCATGACCTAGAAGCATATTCTCAACCTGTGCCTTCACGGGGGTTCACCTCTCACATGCGAGGCTATTAGAACCTGCCACTAACTACCCTTTGAATTTTGAAATAAGTCCCTTCAGGATAATCAGTCCCAAGTGTCCAGTTTCCACCGATTTTACAAGGGCGTGTGTAAATTTCTGGGTAGTAGAGTCTTAGGATGCTAATGAGGCTAGTCGTATAAGAGGGGACTAGTCCCTGTCTTTTAGGTACCCTGACCCCACAAGGCATCCCTGTGCACCCTGTCAGACTGAGCTGCATGCAGCTCCTTGGTGGAAGGCAGACTTGGAGCTTTCTGCTTCCTCTCTTGCCCCCCACCAAGAGAGATCTGGACTATGGAGGGCACGGTGAGTGTGAGGAGCTCCGTGGGCCTGTAATCAGTCCTAGACCCCCGCTCCTAAAGACAGTTCTGAGCTAGGGCCTGAAATGCTCTCCCAGGTGGGGGAAACAATGCACACTATCATCTCTCATGTTCCTGGAAATTAACCTGGTGCTGATTTGCAAGTCACAACAATCAACTGACTTTTTCCCACAGGGTAGGCCTGTCCAAGTATCTGCTAAGCGATGAGGCATTTCCTTATTCACATTCAGTAAAGCCAGCAGAATGGTCTGATGGATGAAGCTCCTAGAACCCAGAATGTTCTAGTAGCTGTAGTCCTGATGCTGAATTCACTTGCTCTATAATCTTAGACATGTCTTGTGGCCCGTGGTTCCTCCTCCCCATCCTGAAAAGGAGAAAATGCTGACCCTACCCTTAACTCAAAATGGATGTTGAGAATAGGAGTAGTAGAACCCGATCTGTGCCTCCCACTACCCCCAGCCCAGGGAAGCTATCTTATGCAAAGCAGTGACATGGGGCCCCTAAACTTTCTTGGGCAGCAGGTACTTTGAGGTTCTGGGAGCAGTGATTAATAAAAAGTACACTATGCAGTAGAGCCCATATCTCTTGGATGCACGATTGCCTGAGAACTTAGATTTGTTTTTGTCAAGCCCTTTGGGGGACTTAAATGAGCGACAGTTTGCAACTCCATCCATGTGATTCTCTCTTGACTCAGGAAGTCTGTGGGATCCAAACATCACTGCTTGTAAGAAGAACGAGACGGCAGTAGAAGTGAATTTTACAACCAGCCCCCTTGGAAACAAATACATGGCTCTCATCCGAAATAACATTGTGATTGGGTTTTCTAACATGCTGGAGGTACTTCATCCCTTCGTTTCCTAACACCACCCCCCCATCCTCAACCTCCAGCCTTCCTCACCTTGTTGACGAAAAATGTAGATGCTCTAGGATGCCCTGGACAGGCTCTCAATGTTAACAGAGTGCAGACAGGACTGTCCATTGTCCAAATGTGCTAGGCTCTTTCGATGCTTTCAACGGAGAGAAGCAAGTCCCTGGGAACATCCCTGGAAATGTCCCCGAGAACCTAAAACTAACCCAAAGTAGACGTTTCAGAAGTAGGAAATGAATGGTTGTTCACAGTCTCGTCAACTGAGAGTCAGTTTGGGAAGAGCGCTTCCCTCCCTGGCTGTGTTTGTTGTTGGCCTCACTTGTCTGGCTCACGTGTCTTGATTTTTGTCTCACGTAACCTGCACCAGAACAACCCCCCAAGTCGAGCTTCGGTGGTGATCCCCGTGACGGGGGAAAGTGAAGGTGCTGTGGTCCAGGTAAGGCTTGACGAGGTGTTTGGGGAGGGCCAGGCGCACTGGTCCTTCCAGCTGTTTCCATGAGGTCCCTCCCGCTATCTCCCTCCCACAGCACACTCCTGCCTGGCCCTCAGGGACGTCTGCGGGGCATCCCTGCCTCCGGGGCTACAGAGGCAAGGGCCAGAGCCGACCTCAGGGTCACGATTCCCTCTGCTTTTATTCGTGGCTGTTGACTTGCCGTTTTTAGTCACAGAGCCTCAGAGTAATTCTGAGACAGGAGTACCATTTAATTTTCCCAACTGCAAAATGAAGCAACAAAGGATTGGAAATCAGAAGGTTTGGGTGGAGGTCAATGTGTGAACTTTGAAGGGCAGCCGCCTCCTTTGACTCCCCTGGGAAGCAGGAAGCTGGGAAGCAGGAAGTTGGACCGGTAGATGCTCTCGGGTCTCTTTCAGCTCCGAGTTTATGATATGGGGACATCGAGGGTCATAGTGGGACACAGCCACGCCCGAGGTCTAAGTAGCTTTTGTTTCTCATCCCCTGGGACATAAAGGCAGTACTCAGAGGGAGCAGATAGCTGGCAGCATATTATGACGGCATCCCTTTTCCAGGGAACCAGACTTTCCTAGTCCCCAGGGATGTGTCTGTCAACAGGAACTCTACTGCTCTGGGTTTTTTTTAGAGGAAATATTTGTATATGTATTAGGAGGTGACCTAACCCTTTTAGATAAGGAAACCAACACGTTAGGAGCACGTACAAAGTTTAGGTTCACAATTCAGGAGTTGGAAGGTGTTCGGTCTTGGGTCACTGGTTTGGATTTTAGGGCCTTGTTATGGAAGTGTGCCCAAGGGAAAAAATGTCCTATTACCATGCCAGGGTGGGGGTGTGGTTCCACCCAAAAGAGAAAGGGTTTTGGTGGACGTAGGCATTGTGCTGAGGTTTTGCTCTGAAGCATGATGGGAACTTCCTGAGCCTCTTGTTTTTCCCTCAGCTGACTCCGTATTTCCACACTTGTGTCAATGACTGCATCCGACGCAAAGGAACAGTTGGGCTTTGCCCACAATCGGGCATGTCCTTCCCCCTGGACAGTCGTAAGTGCCCACCATTTCCGCACGGTCGTCAGAGAGGTTCGGGACCTGAGGGGCCCCACCAGTGCCTCCCCGTTCGCTGTGTGCCGGGGCGTGCACCTGCCCCGCGGGAGGGTAAGGGGGTCCCTGCTGTGCACATGGGGCTGGGGTGCAGGGGTAGAGGGCGAAGCCGCGCCAGACTGAAAACAAAGGTTCTATGTATGAATTCATGGCAGGATCCTTTATGAAACAGGATACACACAAGAAGGTGGGGGGGGAGATAAACAGTGCAAAAATGGATGTGCAGGGTGCCACAGGGATGGGCCGGAAAGTCAGGGGCGTTAGAGGACCGAGTACGGAAGGGAAGGGGCATTTCACGGCACTCTGGTTTTCTGACCAGTCTCCGTGGCCCTGGCCTAACTGTGACTGTAGCTTGCTGTGGTCACACAGCCAACATTTGGATAACAAATTAGGACTATGAGCCCCCAAAGACACGCCTCACTGATGCCTGAGAGCAGCATGTTTGGGGAAACTGTCTCTCTGCATTTAGAGATGTCAGTTCTCTTGTTACAGACAAATAAAATGTTCGCAGAACTAGCCTGGGGTGGAGTCAAAAGTTAGAAAGTGTTATTCTTAGAAACTCAGCGGAACAAACTGAGGACCCAGGTGCCTGGCAGTCCTGACTTCCGTGTGGGCACAGTGCCTATGGGTTCCTGAGCTTACCTGACCGACATGCCTGTGGGGGGCACCACTACCCCCCATGTTTGTCAGTCTAACAAAACAGCCTTTAAAAATGGCATCTGTGTGTACTATATATTAAGTAATCATGCCCACAATAACATCAGTTCATCAAAGAACAAAAAAAACCCTGAACGTCAACTCCGGTTACCACAGTGAAAATGCCTGCACGTATGTGGAGTAAGAAGCCAGAGTGATTTGGGGGAACTTTCTTAACCTCCTGGGTCCCATATCCCTTTTGAGCATCTAACGAATGGCCTGCACACGCTGTGGAAAATCGCACCAATCTGCAGATCCCCTAGAGGTATACTGCCCCTAGGTTTTATAGGAACCTAAACTTCTACAAAGTATAGAGTGAAACTCTTGGCTTCCAAATAGGAGGTACATTTGGTTTTGTGTTGCTGAAAGTAAATAAACTTTGTTTTCTCCAGGCAGAAGCATGCTGCGCGGCTGGCTTCCTCTTCTCCTCTCAGCTCTGCTGGTGGCCACATGGGTGCTGGCCGTTGGGATCTATCTAATGTGGAGGCACAGTAAGTGTGAGAATTCAGTTCTCGAAAGACACCCGAATGAGGAAAAAAACACTTTTGAGTTGTTTTTTTTTTTTTTTTTAAAGACGAGTCCTCTAGAGGCAGTCACATTTTGGTGTTAGGACAAAAGTCAGGTAGCACTGATGTAATCAGTGCCGTAGAGCTCTCCACAAATACTGGTAACAATGACTGGGCCACATCTGCCAAGGCAAAGCAGGGATGGGGACCTCCCAATCTGGTGACTACCACCAGTGTCATTTTTACTGAGGCGTCTACAAGGACTGCTGTGGGCAAAAGGCAGCTAATAATGAATTGCGTTTTGCCTCTAATAGGTACTCCAAGCTAGTTCCTACTTTTTAAAAATAAATCTTCCATGGCGTAAGAACAACACTCACTTGAATTCATATACTCTAGGGACCTCGCCAACTGTAAAACATCAAGGATTTGAATACAGTAATCAGAGTATTTGGACAGATACACTGAAAACCTCTGCTTCTCCTCTTCTCCACACGGAGACAATATAAATGCACCCTTTGAGTCACTTGTGATGTTGTGGACAGTACAAGATTAATCTCATAACCTAATTAAGAAAGCCATGTGGAACTCTGACCTCGGGAATACTCCAGTTTGGGGGATATGGTATGGCCTGTTATTAGTTACAGTACTTTCGTATGTAGTTCCTGTTGTAGAGCAGTTCTAGCTGAAATGGGGTACCAGTTAACCTTACGCAACCACTAAGAAACTTTAGCACCTGCAGATAGAATATGGTCCAATTACTGAGCTGACCCAACTCAAAACGTGATGTGAAGGACAGGTCAGGTGGCCCTGTTTGTACAGGACACTGAGAATAGTACAATTACAACCACTCACCTAAAAAAAGTACCTCAAACCTCAACCGCCTCTATGAATTTACTTGAAAAGATATGGCTGAAGAGGATCTATTTAGTGGTAAGAACTTGGAAAATACATCTTTTTTTTTTTTTTTTAAAGATTTTATTTATTTATTTGACAGAGAGAGAGAGAGATAGCGAGAGCAGGAACACAAGCAGGGGGAGTGGGAGAGGGAGAAGCAGGCTTCCCGCCGGGCAGGGAGCCAGATGTGGGGCTTGATCCCAGGACCCTGGGACCATGACCTGAGCCGAAGGCAGACGCCCAACAACTGAGCCACCCAGGCACCCCGGAAAATACATCTCTTAAAGCATCTTTAAGGATTAAACATCAGTGTGTTTCAGGTGGTACTTTTAAAATGAACATCGGGGACAGTTTCCTTTCTGGCAGTAACAACGTCGCTGGTGCTCAGCCAACGTTCCCTAGCAAGGGATCATTTATTAATGGTGGTTCAAACCAGAGTGAAAGCCTGCTGTTTGCTGTTCACAGACAACAAATGCTCTCTCTCCCCACAGACAGGACCAGGGAGGCTTCCTTCCCTACTACCACGCTCCTGCCCCCCATTAAGGTTCTTGTGGTCTACCCATCTGAAATTTGTTTCCATCACACAGTTTGTTACTTCACTGAATTTCTTCAAAACCACTGCAGAAGTGAGGTTATCCTTGAAAAGTGGCAGAAAAAGAAAATAGCTGAGATGGGTCCGGTGCAGTGGCTTACCACTCAGAAGAAAGCTGTGGATAAAGTCATCTTCCTGCTTTCCAATGACGTCAACCCCAGGTGTGATGGCACGTGTGGCAGGAGTGAGGGCAGCCCCCATGAGAATTCCCAAGACCTGTTCCCCCTGGCCTTTAACCTTTTCTGTAGCGATCTGAGAAGCCAGACTCCCCTTCACAAATACATGGTGGTCTATTTTAGAGAGGCTGATACCAAAGACGAATACAGCGCGCTCAGTGTCTGCCCCAAGTACCACCTCATGAAGGATGCTCCTGCTTTCTGTACAGAACTTCTCTGTGTCAAGCAGCAGGTATCAGCAGGAAAGAGGCTGCCGGCCTGTTCCCTGTAGCCCACCCATGAGAAGTGAGGGGCCTTGAAGCCTTCGTACTCCTCCAATTACAGGGGGAAAGTATCTCAGATGATTCTGAAGTTTCCTGTATGGGATATGTGCAGGGAGACTTTATGTACACCTGCTTTATTTAGCAATAGGAATAGGGAGGATTCCTAACTGAATACATACGCCTTAGTTTAAGCAAAACTTTTATGCCAAAAAAACTGTTACAAATACTAACTACTGTATGGACAGAAACTAAATTTACAATTATAAAGCTAAATCAACTTCATACCTAGAAGTCCAGGAGAATTATAATGCAGAACTATAACCAGTCTGGTAACACAATGGTAAAGCATCCTCCAGCCGAATACCCAGTCCTGAATAGCCCATGCACTGCACAGTAGATAGAACTGTTTATTTCTCTGACACTCTAAACTTAGTGAATACCAAATTTAAGAAAGCCTTTGCTCATTCACGAACTTCATGGGTGAACAACCCTCTATTACATACAAAAGCCATTTTTAAGAAAACAGAAGAGTAAGAAGCCGAACTCCTCTTTGCTGACCAGAGACGCAGTACCCGTGTAGCCACTTACATTAGCCGGCACTTGCAGAGGACCGTCCTGCTCTGAGCTAGATTCAGGTCCTCTCTGAGTCTTGTACAGGTGACTTTTAATATGGACACCGACATCCATTACCTGCAGACCTGATGTCTACTTTAGCCCAGTTACCTATTAGAGGTTACTGTCAAGAGTTCAGAGTTTCTTGGTTATGTGGCTTCTCATGTTCCAAAACACAAGTAATTCCTGCTCTGTTCAAAGTCAGCACTCTTGAAGTAATCTTTTTATAATGAGTTATTATAATGGTTTACTTAAAAAAAAAAAAGTACCAGAGAGCTAGGTATGTATGGTGTTTTAAATCTTCTTTTTCCTCTAAAAGTATCTTTTTCTTAATGCAGAGGTTACCAAGAGGCCATTTATATTGGTGTGCAGTTTTTCTAGGAATGCTTGTCTCTCTCACACAGTACGATACTGAATCTGCCCTAGAGTGTGGATCAGTTTCCACTGGATGCCTGTTAAAATGTATTTGTGAAGGGCTAAAATTATCCTTAAAGGGCCAGGTCTTATGGATAAAATAAAAATCAAAATAAGGAAGCACAGAGTGAAAACTCACCGTGTCCAACTTCACAAGTAGACACTTAGTAATGGCTGAGGCAACATGTTTAATGTGGTTAAGCTCACTTACTTGTCATGACCAGTTTTTACCACACTTAAAAGTGCTGGTAACAGAAGGACACAGCTTATGTCAAAAATTGGACCAGAAACCAACTTCCTCTGAATCAACATCTACCAGTTATAAGAGCAATAGGTGATTATGTAAAAAAAAAAACAAAAAAAAAAACAACACACACACAAAAATACATTTTGCTTTTGAACTAGGTAACCATTAAAATTGTGTTGAAACAGCTCAGAAACATAAAATCAACATTGTATAAATTTATTTTGTTAAAAAGTTAAAAAAATAAAGAGCATACAATCCTCAAATTGAAAGCACCTATCTTCAACAGTACCAAGGTAAAATCATTGTTATACCGATGGACTCTTCTTTGTTCCTCACCTACTGATCACATATATGTAGGATACTCCTTGTTATGCAAATGCTCCAGGACCAGCATTTCTCCATGCCCTGAGACTTCTAACCATCCTATTCTATATTCCATTCTTACCTCCATCTCTTATCCAGCCCTACTTTTGTCAGCCCCCCTCCCCCTCCGCCAGTCCCATTCCACTCCCATATCTCCAGTTCTGGATGAGCAGATGGTGGACGCAGATGCCCAGCAGGAGTGGCAGGAATCAGGCATTCCCCGTGCTCCCAGGTCTCTGAGCCCCCAGGCTGTGCTGACAAGCTTCTGTCTCCAGCTAATGCCTAGCCTTCCTCTGGCCAGGGGCTCAGAAGGCTTCACCAAGGCCTGGGCCACTGGTGCTAATGGCTGTCTGTACTTAGATTTCGCTTCAGACTGTTCACAGATTAAGATCAAATGATCTTACTGAGGACAAAGAGTTCCAAAACCTTTCTCTTGGTTCTTCAGATAAAGGAAATTTGGGGTCTTGATGATTAAGTTGGTAGTAGTAAGGTGACCAGCAGTCACCTTATTCATCTGCACAAGTTAACAACTACAAATTACACCTGAATTGTTTCTACTTGGCTTTAGGAAGGAAATGGGTTTTCCTTTTCAGTTGTTGTTCTGTTTTGGTCAGATAAGGATTGTTTTCTTTCCCTAAGCCCACCCTGAAGCATGTGGAGTAACCAAAGCCAGCCAGCCCATCCTTAAATCTTTGCCTTTGGAAATCTAGAGCTTAACTGGTCAGTCTTTTTTGTAATCCAATAGAAAAAGAAAAAAAGAACCTTTTCTCTCCCTATTTGGAATTCTAAGAGCACCCCTGAGTCGAAACAATGTGTGCCTGCTGAAACACGTGAGGGAAGTGGCCTGGCCAGTTCTCAGGATTCAGGTACCCGAGCCATACACCCACCCCTTGTGGCTGTGTGATTATCTGATGACACTAAGGTCAACTTAAGCCAAGGTGTGTACATGGGAGCCACTCAACAGCAACATTTCACATCATCAGGGAGCTCCTGCGACCCTGAGAAAGGGGCAGGAGCATTTACCACTGAAAAGTAAGTTCATATGTATTCGTAAATGTCCTGGCTACAAAAGCAGCTTATAATTTCACACCAATGTCCTATTGTCAACGTAAAAGTTAAAATTCATTTATTTTCCATGAAATTTAAGCATCTAAGTCAATAAATTAAAATATATATATTCTTCAAGAGTCTTTTATATACCAGGAGGCCTATTTTTGGTCTGTAATAGTGACTTTCTGCCCATTTTCACCAGACAAAAGCAGCTCGCTCTCGTAACATGCGGACACCAAAGCGCTGCCATTCTCTCTGATAAATCCACAGTTCCTGTGTGGTGTCCAAACAAGCCAACACGGCCCCTCCTTTCCATGCAATCAGCCGGGGATCCATATCCTAGGGAAGTGATAAAGGTATTTCAGCAAAAGCGGACAAGACATATATTTAATCATTTCCTTGAATTTGGGGGTAAAAAAACCCTGCTGAATCAATACCTAAAAAGCCAAATTTTTCAACGTGCATTAAAGACTCATCCATACAGGACCCATGAACTACAGACATCTTTGTGTTCCAACCGGTAAGAAAACTTTAGTGTTTATTACTGAAGATGCTACTATTCACTATTATTCCACAAATAGGCCCCATATGCAGGAACATACATATAAGGAAATCATAGAGTGGAATAAATATATCCCATAACCCCTTCCTCAGGATTAAAATTAAATAAGAACATCCCCAGGAATTGTTCGTGGGATATAATGAAATACAGACACAATCTTTTTCTAAATTCCAGGGTTTATGTTTCTTTCCAAGATAGTTCAAGCCAAAAGATGCCCTGCTCCAGGGCCAGCAAAAGATCCTTAATATGACAATGAAAACTGGAGCTGTTGTGGCCAATGGGAGACCAGCCAGTCTCTCCCTGCCCCACCCAGTCCTTTCCCAAAGGCATGGCTTTTGGGAAGTCGGTCATGCTACTCCGGAGAGCACAGCAGGGACTAACACCCAGGACTCCAGGCCCCTAGCCCAAAGCTCCTTGCACCAAATCTGTGACCTACTGAAATTTTTCCACTTGCCCAAACCCTTAATTAAGAGCTGCCCAGACGCGGGGTGCCTGGGTGGCTCAGTCGTTAAGCATCTGCCTTTGGCTCAGGTCATGATCCCAGGGTCCTGGGATCAAGCCCCGCATCGGGCTCCCTGCTCAGCGGGAAGCCCGCTTCTCCCCCTCCCACTCCCCCTGCTTGTGTTCCCTCTCTCGCTGTGTCTCTGTCAAATAAATAAATAAAATCTTTAAAAAAAAAAAAAAGCTGCCCAGACGCAAGCTCATGGCTCCCAGGATTTTATCTGTCCACATACAACATTACAATTAGAAATAATCAGTCCTGGTTTCATTTGCATATAATCCAACTGCACCATGAACAACAGACCTTGGGCCTTGTGATCACATCCACATTCTCAATAATTCGCCTGAATGAAGGTGGCATTTTGTTGAGAATTCTGTGCTGCAGAAATTCTTGAGCTTTATGAAACATCAAACCACCTCCCACCACAAGGATGGAACTGTACATCTTCTTTTTGGTATCATCAGATGCTGAAAAGACAATGATAATCCTTCAACTCTTTTTCTCCATACCCACCACCACCCTGGGCCAAGCCACTGCCATCTCGTTTGAACAACTGTAAGAGCCTCCTCAAAGATTTCTCTCCAACCCATACTCAACAATGCAGACAGAAGAATCTTGCAAAACACCAATGTGAGCATGTTGCTATCGCACCCTCCACTCTGCTACTTGCAGGATTAGGACCAAAGTCTCTACAGGGACCTACAAAGTCCAGTGTGGCGTGACCACACTGCTTCTCTAGCTTCATCCTGGCCCCTGGCCCCCCAGCCACACTGGCCTCCATAAAGGCCTCTTCCGCTGCCCAGAGTGCTACCCTGTGACAGGCTAACCCCCACTCACCTCCTAGATCTCTCTTAAGTGGCTCTTCCCCAAGAAAGTCTTCCCTGCCAAGCCTCCCACCCTCCACACTTCTTCCTCCTAATAAAAGTCCCTGATTAAATCCATCAGAAGCTATGCAAGTCAGTATCCTTTAGTTCAACTTTGCAACACCTGCCATAGCTGTAATTTCCCATTTGTGTGACAATTTAACTTCTTTGGTCTCCTCTAGTACACTACATGCCCAAGGAGGCCGAGAACCAATTCCTAATACCGGGCAATGCAAGCACAAAGCAGGGGCTCCACAGTTTTTCAGTGCATATGCTGTGCGGCCCAAGCACACTCTAGCTTGAACCCATTCACCTAACCAGCTTCCGAAACATGCTTACAACAGCAGTCGATGCTGTGAAGAATGGCTTTATCCAGGCCCAGGGCTTTCCCTTCAAACAGAGAGATGGCAGTCTTCCGGGACATCAGTGCTGTGAGAGCCTCCTCAGATTCATTGCCAGCCATCAAACAGTCTCCCTGGGAGGATCCCAAATCCACCTCCTGGGCATGGAGTCTTTCTGGAAGATCAGAAGACTGGCCACGAAGATCCCCTTCAAATCCAATGGGTTTGGAGGCAGACTTTCGGTCAGCAGTAGCTTTGGCAGACTTTAAATCAATCAAAAGGACAATCAAGTGGATGGCAGGACTAGAACAGAACAGTGTTGATGTTCTCCAGCTAGAACCCACCCGTCCCTACTGCACTATTTTACACTACTATAAAGCAAAGGTCCATCACTGGTGCAGAGGGAATGCATGCTAGTATACAGCCAACCACCTGGACCCACTCCCAAATCACCTGGGAGTGAGACGCGGTGTACAAAAGATGAGGATGTGCTGACAATTCCAAAGCAGTCACTGGCAGGCAGGGCAAGTCTCACGACCTTACTACCACTGGTTGGATTTTAAAACTGAAATGTCAGCGTACATGGACATTTCCCCCTTGAGCGGAGTTTTTAAGTGGAGTATTTTGGTAGGATTCTTGCGCCTGTGGCTATCTATGGAATCCCCATTTTCAGACCTTATCTAACCACCTGATGCTCAGGAACAAGTACTAGAGAAGGTTTAGAGCCCTCTTCCCTCCATCATGAGCTGCTGTTTCATTGGCAAATAAGAGCTTTAATTTGTGCCCCCGCATCAGACATCCTATTACTGGGATCATTAGCTCTGGACAAAAGAATTCAGCTTTTTGCCTAGACCACATACTGTTTACATTATAATTTTTAAAATAGGTGAGGTTTTACTGAAAATATTCCCTACTGAATAAATGTTCAAAAGGAAATAATGTATACACCAAAAAGAAGTATCTTCATTAAACTAACTTTTAAGTGTGTGGACTGGTATTCTGAAAATTGGATTAACGTCTACTGAATGAAGAAATCTGTCATCTGGATTTTAAATTTAGACTTCATTTCATCTACAGTTCTAAAAACAGTATTAGCTTTGGTATGCACTGCAGACTGCAGTGACTGCAACAATCCGTTAATGATGGGCAAACTTCTCCTGCAGGGGCAAGGGTGTCTCTTCTCACACCAGAATCCCTACAGACCTGTTCCTGCTTGCTCTGCGTGGCCAGCAGGTAATGCTCATCATGAGGATCCTCAGGGTCTCCCTGAGATCTGTGCTGCAAAGTTGTCATTTTCTGGCCAACAATTCCAAAAGTTGCTGGGTAAAACAAAGCCATTGGGGCCTGTGCAAGGAAGGGAAAAAAAAAAGATCAACCAAGGACACTGCCTTCTGAAAAAACTGATCCATTAAATTCTGTTCTTCCCAAAATAAAACTGACAG